TGCATAATAAACTTACACTTCATACATGTATGTTTACATCACTGCATGTTCGTGTGGTTAGGTTACGAACATGTGGTTCTTGTTCCATGATCAAATTATAATCAAGAAGTTTTAGAAGGGAAGAAAGCCAGAGAAAAYGAACCAATAAGCATCTGTACTCAGTAATTATTAAATTATTAATTAGTTGAATAAATAATTGTTTGTTTTTTTTGGTAAGATTTTTGTTGTAGATAGCACTAGYAGTGAGGAAGACCTGGAACTAGCTGCGGCAGAGCTACAGTCTGCCCTGTCGCATCCTGCACTGAGAGATCTACCACTTCTTGTGCTGGCCAATAAGCAGGATGAAAAAGAAGCAAGATCAGTTGAAAAGGTTAGTTATCTTGAAAGAAAATTATTATATTTAGTCTACCATTAAACACTGCCTGTCATGTGCTATCAACCAGAGTATTCTATTGCTTGGTACCAATCTTGGGACTGGTTTGCAAGAGCATGAAAAAGGTTAAAGGCCCTGAGGCCCTGTTACAATTTTCCCAGCAACCCGCCTTGCAATGCCAAAAATGTTAAAAAAGTCAACCATTGGTTAAAAAAAGGTGACCAAGTTAAAAAAAAGTCGACCAACTCAAAAAAAGTCGACCAAGTTTTGAAAAAAGCTGACCACTGAAAAAAAGGCAATCAAGTTTAAAAAAAGTCGCCAATGTAAAAATAAGTCGCCTGGCTAAAGAAAAGTTGATGGCCCTAAGTGGGCTCTGTACCGCACTCACTACCATTACATTTTAAAAATTTGGTCACACAACTCTTAAATTAAATTTTAATTTTTGAGGAGAAAGAGAAATAGGAGAAAACCATATATGGGAGGGCGGGGATGCTTGTTGAACATTTCGGGAATGACGCCCAAAAGGTACCAACAATGTCGACCTTTCTTGTAATCACATCAGTGGCATGAAATTTCACCCCTAATTGGTACTTTTTAAAAACACCCTAAATCGTGAAACACTAATGACTAAATAGTACAAAAAAGGGGTAATTAAACGATAGAAAACAAATGGAAATTGCATGAAATTGTGCTATTTAGTATAACTAAAGTTTCACTGTTATATTGTTTGCACTCTACAACTAGCATCCCCACCCTTCTATACCGGAATAAACAAAAAATTAAAAAACTACTAGCTTTAGCTGTTGTATCACAGAGTGGGACAATCACAACAGAGCTAGGCTACAACTAGGTGACAGATCAAATTAGAATTTAGTAGTCGGTTTTTGAGGAGGGAGGAAAACCGGAGAACCAGGAGTCAAACCCTGGAAGCATAGGAGAGAACCAACAAACAACTCTACTCAGATATGACACCGAGATCAGCAGGACTTTGGGCTGCATTGGTTAGAGGCAGTGCATCAGCTGCGCACACCACTGGTGCTTCCCCCCAGGGAAAAAACTACTCATTGCAAGGTAGAACACAACACATAAACTCAATTTACGTCATTGTAGCGGCTGTAGGACTTGGACCAGGGACCCAACCCGTAGGACTCAGTGAGGAAAGGCCATAGTTTTACACCTACATATACCACTCTTGCTCCCCCCCCCCCCCCCCCCCCCCCCAGTCCTACATCTGTCCTTGAATGAAAATTCTAGCAATATTTGTCTGGGAATGCCAACATTCCTATCCCTGTACAATAAGTATGAAATCAATATACGTAGTTGCTTAAATTTCTATATTTTTATTTTTAGTTGGAAGAACTTTTAGACTTGAAAACTCTAGCAAGAAATCGGCAGTGGCTTATTAAGCCATGCTCTATAGACAAAATAGATGATGTGCGTGAAGCATTGAGTTCATTTGTGGAGAAGATTACAGGTCCTGTCATAGATACACAGCCGGATAACAGACTTTAAACACGAAAGCTAATATAGTCCTTTTCTCGAATCTGCTTATTAACAAAAGTGACCATGAAACAATGGCTTCAAGTTTAGTTTGAATTTGACAAAGAGGGTAAATGCGTGAACACTTCAAATTCAACCCTGACTTGGAAAACGTGTTTCATGGTCACTCAAGTGAATGTGTAGTTCCAGAAATCATCCATACCCATGCCATCCCACAGAGGAATTTGAAATTTCCGAAGAGAAGGGGGGTCAGAGAAGGAACAAAAATTACAGAGTTTGTATTGAAGAAAATTGGAATTTCCAGTGGATAGGGTAGTCTTTAAAAAAATCCTCCATGAGGGGGGTATGGATAATTTTTGGAACTACACAAAATTATACTCCTTTGTATTAATGCAAAAGGTATAAGGTCCTTTATTTTTTAATTTACAAGAACTGCCCAATTAAGAAAATATTTGGTCAGTTGCCTAAATGGGATTAATAGGTAGCTATACTATAAAATATATATTAATTATTAATATAAGTTAATGTGGAATGGTAGAGTATGTGAGTATCGGTTTCATGGACCTCATGGTTCTTTCCCGTTGTTAATTACGTCCGATTTATCGCTTATCATCTCTCCATTTACTCGCATATATTTCTCTACAAGTCTTACAAAGCCTCAAAACGTAAGACACGCACTAGTACCTGCCCTGGTTGTAAACTATCAGCTGCTTTCAACTCATTCTGCCCTCCTGTTAAGAATTGCGAAGGTTTATTTAATTATTAAATGGGCAGAACTGCCCATTCAATTTCCACACTTCGTATTTATGGGGGCTTGAAGAACCCAACGAAAATGACCGCTCGCCAACATGATTGGCTTCATAGCTCAGTTGGTAGAGCATCGCACCGGCATCGCGGAGGTCATGGGTTTGATTCCTGTTGAAGCTTGAAATCACTTTTTCAAGTCTTTCTTTACAGCGTTCGCTTAGATCGCTCATTCACTGTGATGATCAACACATCTATCGTTTATTATTAACGGCAGGATGTCAGCTGACCATGGCTGACAGTCAGCCAACAGGGCAATAATTGCATTATTATCTGTGCATGCTGTCTTGCTTTTTACCCATATCAAGTGTTGTATCTCATTTTTTGTTTATGATAACAATAGAGTCTGTTTAATTGAATTATTTGGTTATATTAATTTTGTTATGGATTTTATCCATTTTTATGAAATATAAAGTAAGCCAAAATCCCAAGGCTTAAAAAAAACAGTACCTGAGTGATGGTAACATAAATGGCAAAAATTATCAAAAACATTTCAAGCTTTCTTTGATTCTTTTCTTGCTTCTCATTCAGTTGTTTCTGGAGCTGTCTTTTATCCTCTTCTTGCTTCTCATTCAGTTGTTTCTGGAGTTGTCTTTTATCCTCTTCTTGCTTCTCATTCAGTTGTTTCTGGAGTTGTCTNTGTCTTTTATCCTCTTCTTGCTTCTCATTCAGTTGTTTCTGGAGTTGTCTTTTATCCTCTTCTTGTTTCTCATTCAGTTGTTTCTGGAGCTGTCTTTTATCCTCTTCTTGCTTTTCATTCATTTGTTTCTGGAGCTGTCTTTTATCCTCTTCTTGNTCAGTTGTTTCTGGAGCTGTCTTTTATCCTCTTCTTGCTTTTCATTCATTTGTTTCTGGAGCTGTCTTTTATCCTCTTCTTGCTTCTCATTCAGTTGTTTCTGGAGCTGTCTTTTATCCTCTTCTTGCTTCTCATTCATTTGTTCCTGGAGCTGTCTTTTATCCTCTTCTTGCTTCTGATTCAGTTGTTTCTGGAGCTGTCTTTTATCCTCTTCTTGCCTCTCATTCAGTTGTTTCTGGAGCTGTCTTTTATCCTCTTCTTGCTTCTGATTCAGTTGTTTCTGGAGCTGTCTTTTATCCTCTTCTTGCTTTTCATTCATTTGTTTCTGGAGCTGTCTTTTATCCTCTTCTTGCTTTTCATTCATTTGTTTCTTGAACTGTCTTTTATCCTCTTCTTGCTTCTCATTCATTTCTTTCTGGAGCTGTCTTTTATTCTCTTCTTGCTTCTCATTAAGTTCTTTCTTGAGCTGTCTTTTATTCTCTTCTAGCTTCTCATTCAGCTGACTTTTTTCCAACTGTTTATTACTCTCTTCTAGCTTCTCATTCAGCTGTTGTTTTTGTTGAATAAGATCTAGTTCTCGCCATACATAGCTATTTGAAGAGGAAAATTTACTAGTTTCCTTCATGTTTTTTCCACGACCATCAATTTTAATTTCATCCTGAAACAATAAGAGACAGTACACCGAGTACTTAGAACTAATAGTATTTTACTATTTATTAGTTTATAGCACAAAGGGACCAGTCATGATTTATAGGGAGTGCATGGGGCTCAGGTGCAACATTGAGCATGCCATCTTAAAGGTGCAATTTGTTCTGACTCTCCCCTCCCATACGTAATACTGAAACAGATGCTAGTAAATATCTATGACACCCCTCTTAACTTCTTGCATAAAAATTGGTGACCCGCTCTTTATTTTTACCATTAACCCAACCAATCCATAAAATTAATATTAAAGACTGGTTAGAGTAATTGATTGTTCATTTTCCAAAGCCAGTTGGATTGGAACTGTAATATACTACACATATCAAGGGTTTAAATATAAAATATATACACTCAAATGATGTATTGTAATAAATAGTAGGCAAGACGTAATAGTCCTGGACCTGCTGCTGCAGTCAGTGCACTCATTTTGAGGAGCTATGGGAGCATTATTGGTCTTGAAAATCTATCCTTAAAGCTCTGTGTTTTATCTGCTAGCAGCCATCATAACCTAACATAAAGGTCATGCTTCATATATCCCAATCTAAAAGGAAGTAACATTGTTTGGCTTTTAATATATTACATTTTGCAGAGCAAGCTTGGCTGCTTTCCTTGTGCTCATAAAATGTATGTCGCTTTCAGCGCTGTGCTTGTACAGAGACATGCACTTAATTTTTATACTCCTTAAATATATAAGAACTGCATAACGTTTACAGTTACATACATCTACATCTTCTAGAGAAGAATTAACCTTTGCCATGTCTGAAATGCAAAATTAAATAAATATAATCAATATATATTATAACCACCTGTCCATCTACATTTAAAGGCTTGCATATTAAAAAACATCCTAAATATTAATAACTATAATACAAGATTTTGGTTGAAAATTATCCTTTGCAACGACTCATTCAGTTCTTTGAAATAACACTGTTTTAGCTTTGCCCCTGTACATATGTGCAACTCAATTAGATGAGAAAAATTTATATTATGACTATGAAAAAAATCCCTTACTTCCCTCCGCCAATAAAACAAACAAACAAAAGTAGATGCTATATACAGCTCAGTTGACATTAAAAATTTATTCATCACTTTAAATTATAGAAAAATCACTTCCACCTGATTTTGGATTGTAGCCATCAAAATTATCTGCATTCTCTGATGGTTCATTGCCTCCTTTGTTCTCACTATCGCTATCCCGATCAACTTTTGGTCCCTTAGTGCTGGTTCCCAATCTATCAGTAGTTCTGTCTTTAATTGATAAAAATAAATATTTAGTACACAATTGCATGTTTAAAACTGAAAACAAAAGTGCAAAAAAAGCTCAAAAAATTGTTTTTTAATAGGCCGGAATACTGATGTACATGTTTTGCACTTATAGCTTGCTTACATAAAATGGGATGAATTAATGAACCTTACATATAATATGTAGATAATGATAGTAGAGCGCAAATAATATTACCCGTGAAAAATAGCTAGTAAGGATGAAATAGGAGATAGTGCTTAATTAGACAAGACAGGAATTCAGTGAGGCATGTACAAAAATGAGAACATATCAAATTACATGAAGGAAAAGCACATACAACAAAATATTGTTTCAGTTTTTGTAAGTATGTTTGGGGATTTTGAATCATATATTAGGGACCAATAAGCTGCAGGACGGCAACGACAATGATGACGGCAAGTATACAATAGCACTAATTGCGTTATTCAATAGACACTCGTTGGGATGTGCGAAATGCTGTGCATTATTACCGTCTTATGCTGAAAGTAAGGCCAAGGCAAACGTCAAACTTTCCATGCACCAAACTTAATTACATCAAAGAATGCTGCCTCATTATCACCTGATATCCATTGTTTTTAATGAGTTCGGTGTGTGGAAAGCTCGACGTTTGCCCTAGGCCTAAGACGTGAAATGTCTTATTTTTACATACTAAAGAGAACAGCTACGCCAAAAGCTTATCTTTGCTGATTTTCGTTATAAGTAAAGCCCTCCCAAAAGATGACATTTCATTCCAAAACGGGGATGCTTATTGAATAAAATACTAGGTAAACACGAAATAATAATACAATAGAAGGTTAAAGCGCCTCAATTTCGCTGACGTTGTTGCCCGTGTTGCAGTCCTGCAGCTTAAGGTCCCTATATTATGTATCGTGGTGTACAGGAATAATATTGTCAGAGGAATTCTATTCAAATTCCAATTCCAATATGCAAATGAATTCGGTTAGCAGACATGCCCGACGATATAGCATATATACATCATACTATAATATATATCATTTTAAATATGACAAAAATCAGAAAGCATCCTAGCGAACTCACTTCGTGGCTAAAATAGGGTTAGGATAAACAAGGAAGGAAATTGCCGGCTTCGAATCTTGCCTGCCACTGAAATTCTTTGAAGTGAGGAGAACCAAAATTCTCTAAAATCCTCACACTCGTGTATTCAGAGCGTATGACACCCTTGGTTAAACCATACACCATGGTGCTACCTAAAACGCTCTTATAACTTTAAGAATTAGCTAGTTGAATTGTTAACAATTATTATTTACCTGGTACTTCAAAAACAGAACAAGAAATTCTGTGACTTTTCCCGGTAACCTTTACAAATGACCCAACTAAAATCTTTCTTTCTTTTCTTTTTTTAGTCTTTTCTTCCAGCTGTTCAACCACAATAATTGGCCCAGGCACATCCAACAGATTTTTAAATCCATCATCACTCAGGTTCTGAACCTTATATTCATTGCTTGTTGGCTGATCCTCACATTTTTCAATCTTCAACTTGATGAAACCCAAGTGGTCTTTACCTAGTCCATAAACCTCATTTCCTAGGGTTTGATTCAACCTAATTCCATTAATTCTATGCTTCTTTAAAAAAGAGCATTTATCAAGCTCTTTAGATTCACACAAAAGAAAGAAATGGCACTCATTAACAACAACAGCATTGAGATTTCTTTCCAACTCATACTGCTTTTCATGATGTTTACTATCTCCAGTCTTTGGATAGCTGACTGTTGTTTTCATTTGTTTGGTTATTATCTCACCATTTGGTGAGTAAAAAAAATACTTATGCTTTGAAAATATATTTTGGTCATCACTTGGATTTTTCCATAGTCCTATTAAATCTTTTAAATTTTCATCTTTAGACGAAACTATGCATCCCTGAAGAGGTTTCATATTCTCTCCACCATTTGTTTCATTTACTACTGTCACTCTGCAAATTGCTGTCCCTTCAGTTCCATTGAGCTGCAAACGTGGAATCATGATGGCTTAATTCTCAGCAAACCTGTAGGTTAATTAAAACAAACCCAAAAATTTCAGTGGCATATATAGCAAGGATTTTGCAATTTCGCCATGTTGTTTGGGCCCCCAAAACGGCGAACCAAAAAAAAGACTGGCATTTCTTTTATTTTTGCACAACTTAGAAAAAAATTCAAATGACTGTATATTTCCTAAAATACTGCCATTTTGTTGCCACAAAGGGTAGCTGTATCTACATAATATATTTTTTTCTACAAAAGCTGCCATTTTGTAATGGCCAAGGTCAATTTATGCAATGCTCACGTGGGCCGTATTTCAGCGGCGTATCTAGAATGCGGGTAACGGGTAGCGGGTAAAATATATAAATCAATAATTCATATGATAAATAACCATGAAAATATACATATAATATAAAACAATAATAATAATGAAAACAAGAAAAACTCCCTGGTTTACGACCGTGTTTCCACTAGGAAAATTTAACTGGCACCTATTAAAGTTTCCATAAGGTGTCACTGCATGTCGTGCCCCAGAAATAAGGCAAAGTTAGACTATGTAGCAAGATGGTTTAAAGTTAACGAAGCAGTTTTTTTCTTGACTGATTGGTCAGTAAACGACACCTCAAGGAATATGTTACCCTTGTGGTGTTCAGACCACCTGTGGGTATCAAGCTATTGGACACGTCCAAACACGACCCTTGTTGTAGCTACACATAAAATATATGGAATTTAGTGGTGATAAAAAATAACCTATTTTGTTTTAATTGTAATTCTGCGTAGTCCCGTATCATTTATCCAGTATCATTTTTATTCTTAACATCGACAACAAAAGAGAACATCGAAATTTATATTATTTACTAACATGAATTGCTAATATTTTGACTTGAAGCGTTATGTTTTTCTCGACGTCTAAACTTCTCAGCGTTTGCCGTTTAGATAAACATCAAGTCAGTTTTTTCACTTTTATTCTTTTTTATATGGTTACCCGTTACCCGTTACCCGTTACCCGCATTCTAGTCACGTCGCGTATTTCAGTATAACTGAGATTCCTCGTTCTTTTATTCTTTGTTGAATTACGTAAAGCTATTACAAATCAAAGAGTTGAAATTGGAATCTTGAATATTCGTTTGCTTATTCACTTTCTGATGATAAATTGTGCGTTCTAATCGTACGTACATAACGCAAGGCACTTGCATTCCAAAGGATCGATGTAAACACAATGTTGCTGAAGTATAGAATAATAATATCATTTAAAGCAGATTAACGATACGACAATCAATCAAAGGATCACAATTAATTACTGGCATTAAACTATATTGTAATTTTTATCTCCTTAATCTCCAGATAAATGGATTCCTTTTTGCCAGATTAATTCGATTCAGCGTCTTACTCGTTCGATCGGTGCGTGTGTACTTCTTACTTTTATTTTAAGCAAACTATAACCTTATATTAGTAGCGTTCTTTTAACGAGTTAAGTTTATTTTAACGATCAAAATACTGCAATTTTTTTAGTTTTTCTTTGACAAAAAGCTCATTTAACTAGCTAGCTGGGAATTCAAAACTTCCCGTACGAAACATCGAGACCGGGAATTTAAAAGGACAAAAACTTGAAACTTCAAAGTGAGATTATAACCATTTCTTACCTCTCAGACCGGCTCTGTTCTCGAGCTAAGCCAACTAGATTAACTTTCAAGGCCTCAGTTCGAACAACAACAGTCTCATATCGATCTTTCTTAACTTCGTACGCATTAATAACGCATGCGCTCATCTTAGCACGATTTCCAAGAATTATTTTATTAACCAGAAAAGATATGTTGAAATTCTCCGAATATTTTCAACCATTTGTTTTAGCACTTAATATTAAGCCACTAAACTAGAAGCTTGAGACTGACATTATGACAATAATGATGATGATGATAATGATGATATAAATAATAAAAAGATGATGATGATGATGATACTAATTAGCTATTAGTTATTTTTCTATTCAACACATTGCAATATTAGTTTCCCAATAAAGCTGTTAAAAAAATAATAAGCGAGCTAGGGGGAGGGTGGGGGTCTTTATACCATTGCCATTTCCTTCGGCCCGCGCGCGGGAGCTCCGCTAATAATAATAATRATAATCACAATTACGAAAGTGGTGGTATCTGATCAAATATGTCCAAAAAAGTCAAATTGCATAAATGCGTACATTCCGTTTGCATGTATGATAGAATGATGTTTTTGAATCACTGTTTTCGAGACTGCGCATGCCTTCCAACAACTTCCGTGTKAACCCCCTGCAGTGAATTTTCCTAGAATCAGTTGACACGAGGTCGACACTACACGCGGTCTTTAGTTTACACTAGTAAAACAGACGCGGATTWATTAGTGCACGCTTTGAGAATGATGGCGATAAATATGAGCTAAAACACTACCAACTTCACAACCGATAAACCTCTGGTCTGCGTAATGTCGAGTGCCTGCACGTTTGGGTCAGGCCGAGACATCGCATATCTGGTGTTTTCAATTTTACAGTTCGCTATGACAGCGTTTGGTCTGTGGTGGGTACACAAAGTAATTAAAAACAGGGATGATAAAAAGGAACAGGAACGTTTAAAGAAGAAAGAAAGAAAGGAAATTGTTGATATTACTGACGCTGAGTCCAAAAAGATCGTAAAAAGTGGCATCGATGAGAAACTTAAGAAATGCAAGGAGAGATTCGAGGCTATGGTTATGTTTTATGGGATTGTGTCTGAAACTGATGAGCAAAAGTACAAGATCACTGGCCTTGATGTTTTAAGGTTCATGCTTCTCAAAGGGCCTAACGATTTTAAAAATGAGCCACTGACAAAGCTCCAGGAAGACTTAGATACTGTTGAAAACGTGTTCCAGACCTTGCATATCAAGTTACCACACCCTACTAGTACTAACATACAGAAACTATTAGGATCCAGATTAAAACCATTGATTTGTCTGATTACTCAAATAGCAAAGATAGCAAGGTCTTTTGTCCGCCCAGCAAAGCGGTCGAATAATGAAGATGCCATTTCCAAAGTTTTAAAATATTTTGACAATGGTCATGAAGACGTTAGGTCAGAAGAGAAGGATGACGAATTTAAAAGTAAAATATTAAGAGTACTTCCCTACGTGAAGATCCTTTCGTTTGGTGAAACTTGGCCGGCCGATGTTACACCTGTAACGTATTACGACCAAGATTTTAACACCAAAATTCTACTACTAAATTTAGATAAAAAACAAACTGACACAATCTTTGAATTGTTATCAATATTATCTGAGCTATACAAAAGATTCATCGAAACCGTATATTTAACAAGATTCGCTGAAACCATCAGTGAAATTTGGAGTCGGAACTTTCGAGAATCTTCGAGATATATGCCTGACTGGAATGAGAAAGAACATCTTAATGCTAATATTATCCATGCGGTACGTGTTTTCTTGTTCAAGGTAGCCGAGGGCAATGATATTATACACGATGAGAATTTTAGGAAGCTGGTTGATGAGATGAAGAAAATCACATACGCACAATTTTCTGAAGAGCAAAATGATATTAGTTTTAGGGCAATGGGAAAAATACACGATTCAATACAACACTTGGGGCTCAGTCGTCAAATGCTACATCCAATATGTGGACAGAAATCCTTTGCCAACATGTTGAATGAAGTGAGTAAAATTATAGAAGATATCATCCGTAAGGCCGAGTCTGAATGTCGATGAGCAACTAAAAAAAAAAGCGAATCGGAAATAGAATCAACAAAATGGGAAGAAGACAAAGCATGAGAATAAGGTGTGAAAATATTTGTAGTAAGCTGTTAAATATAATCATTGATAAAGTGGAAAAGATATAACGTGAAGTGCAAATTGTTTTAAATCTCTCCACCATGGTCCCAAGATGTTTGAAGTTCAACCTTCAGGGCTGGGCATCACACAAGGTGACTTTGTTTGATGAAAAAGTGATTGTGAATTGAGTGTGATGTGTGCATTGTAAATACTATACTAGTAAAGAGAAAGGCATTGAACCAGATGTTAGGAAATGTTGAGTGCCAGAACTATGTAATGCTGTTTCATGTGAGCAATTTGATTGGTTCATTTACACTAGCTGGTATGGCTTTTGATTAGCTATAGTGTGAGCAATTTAATTGGTTCATTTACACTAGCTTCTCTAAGGGGCTGTTTATATGGAGCGAGCCAGCCCGGTAAGCGGGCTAGCCCGCTTGGCCGAGATGAATTTTGGATTGCGTTTATATGGGAAAATTCAGCCCGCTTACCGGGATGAAATCAGACATGTGATCATCCAGCCTCGTTAGCATACGAACTCGTCACGCGATTATCATTTAAAAAACATGGCAGTATGCGCAGTAGGATCAAATCCAGCCCGCTTACCGGGCTGGCTCGTTTATATGGAAATTTTTCCATCCCGCTTGTCGAGATCTAGGCACCCCCCAACCGAGATCTTGGTAAGCGGGCCAGCCCGTCTCCCCATATAAACACAAAGCATTTTTTACAACGAAAAGAGGCCGAGCCAAGATCTCGGCAAAGCGGGCTAGCCCGCTTACCGGGCTGGCTCGCCTCCATATAAACAGCCCCTAAGATGCAAGCCATTGTAGTGTCATATTTTCCAATAGCCAAGTCTGTCATGCATTCCACATGTGAGCAATTTCATTAGTTCATTTACGCTACTTGTTGTGCCTTTTGATTGGCTAAGACAAGAAGCCATTTGAGTGTTATATATTTCACTAGCACAAGTCTGTAATAAAAGGTATCCATATACCAAGGCATTTTTTTCTTGTATTTTTCTTCTGTAATTTGCAGTTTCTGCAATTTCATATAGTTTGTTTTATTTTTCTTTGATTCTTGTTTATTAGTTATTTTTTCTTTTCTTTTGTTTATCATTTCTTTAGTAATTTTTCTACTTCATGAAAAATAGCTTTGCAAGAAAAAAATCTGAACAATCGTAAAAGTATCAAATAAAATTCAATGATAAATGTAAAAAAAGAAAATAAAAAAATCTGTAAATATATATAGCACCTAGTATAGACCTAGAGAAACACTTAGTTTGTCTCTCCATACACTGTAAATAACTGTCTCATATATTAATGAATAAATAAAAAAATAGAGAAAAAAAATAAATGAATAAAAAAAGTCTGTAATGCTTTCCACATGTAAGCAATTTGAGTGGATCATTTAGCTGACAAAAGATGTACAATTTACATATTTAAACAAGTCTAATTTCATTTAAACATTTATAGATTTAACCAAAAACAACTTGATTATGTATAAATAATTTTCATCTTAACAACATAAAGAAATCATTATTAATAAATACTAGTAGGAATCAAATGGTTTTCTATTTTTTTGATTTTGTTTGTTTTTGTTTTGTTAATCTTTACGTTAGAAGCACAACTGATGATAGCATTGGTAATAATTTTTCTAATTTGTAGATGTAATAGACAAGCTGGAGGGTAATATTTCCCCATATCAGTCCTCGTCCTATTCCCTTGAGTATTATCTTTTGTTCACCAGTAAATGCTGCAAGCTATGTTAATATGACACAAACTCAAACAAATAAAATTATAATAGCCAATGTGCACAAACATGAATCTCATAGCATAGTACTTATGCTTTTTCGGCTTCTCTAAAGATTCATCTGACAATTTTCCTTCAATATTTTCTATGGAATTCTAAGTATTTAAACAGATGAAAATAAAATATTTTTTCCTCATGATTCCTTTGATTTCCCTGTTTCATTTTTGCAATGCTTGGTTTCCCAGTTTACTTTTGTGAGCTTTTATGTACATTGCCTATTCACATTATTTTCTTCTGGATTTTCATTGATCGAGAGACAACCACTTCAATAGGGATAACTGCCTAGTAAGAATTACACTGCTTATTTGCAGCAATGCGACAATGGCAGCTCAATTTGCAGAGAAGAGAACTTATCAGTTGTTTTTGTTGGGCATCAATCAAGGCATTTCCATGATATTACATAAGTACGTGGCCTTTAAAATGTTAGTGTTTCCAACAATGTCAATGAAACACTTGATTGATGCCCACCAAAATCTTATTTTATCTCCACAACAAATGTAGRATTTCATGATTTTTCCAAAAGCTTGTGAAGAAAGAAACTATATTCAAGGGAACRCCACAGGGTTAGAAATAGAAAGTACTAAAACAAACTAAATTTAGGGCCTCTGATCAAACATTTATAGTTTATAAACAACAGTGGCTGCGAGACATGACAGTTTGACTATGATTTAGCACATTTAAGCGAATAACTTTGATATAAAACTTTCCAGCTAACAATCATGAGGGATGCTACATGAAGTATTAGCCTCAATTGATCTCTCTTTTGACTCTCCCAAGCTGTCATTGCAGCAAACTTTTTAATGTCTGTTTAAGTATAACGCAGCGACAATCCCTCCAAGGACGATAACAGTAGCACCAAACACTAGTGACCATGGGAAAATCTGTGAAGGAAGCATTGAAATAGGAAAATATTGTAAACCTAATGGAAAATGAATGACCACCTACTTCAAAACAATAGCGCAGTACGCAGATTCTAAAAATAGCTTGAAAACTCAGACAAACATTGCATTCTATTTAACTGCAATTAGTATTATACGAACCAATTTTATTATTTTTACTTAAAATTAGCATAATAACCCATTTAAACTAAGATCTACTGCGATTGGCTGTGAAAATTATCTGCTTAAAGTAAAGTATAAGTTTGTTTGTCTGATCTTTGCCTTTGTCTTCGTTTTTATGACATCATTTTTGTGCTGTGCTATTCAAAAACCCTGCATGTGTCATTCCCTTGAGTATCTTTTCTTTGTCTAACATTTGCACACGAGAAGACAACATAAATATGRAAGCTAACTCAAAGAATCTTATTCTGAATAGAATAACACATGGTCTGAAATGGGTAAACATTTCTCCAAAAGTAAACAGGTCAATAATTAAGGTTTCTTTTTTTTACAGACTAATAATTATTAATAATAATTTAATGTCAACTTACAGAAGGCTTGGATTTGTTCTTTTCCATTCCTCCAAGGCCGYCCACCATTCTCTCATACATATCTTTCTCTTTTTGGTTTTGAGAACTTAGACATTGTTTCAGASTGGAAAGCTCAGAACGTATAGTTTTGTTGGTGGGTTC